TCATATTGTAGAATATAATGAAACGACATAAAAAACCAATAAATAATTTCAACTCTCTCTTTTTTCTTTTTGAAGTTTATTAATGAAATCTTTATGAGTATTTGTATTGCTGTCTACTAACTAGATAAAAAGCTTTAACAAAACAAATGACTGAGAGGTTCAATAACCTTGTTACACCCACTGATTGTGTGTGTGTGTGTGTCTATGTCTTGGTCTTTCGGCGATAAATAAATGTATAAACTCCGTTTTTCAAGAATACGCTTTAACTCGATTCATTTTTATAACTTCAGTAACACTTAAAAATGACCAATTTCATCAATAGACATTGTATGTTGAAATATTTTATTGGTAAATATATTAACAATCTTTTGCCTTCCCTCTAGTCTTGGTTAGCGCAGATAGCCCTCGTGTAGCTTTTCGCTAAATTCAAACAAACAATAATTGCTGCTGACGAAATGTATCATGAATTAGTTCCCGAAGGCGACACTTATCAATACAAGAAAGTATTTCGTAAGTGTAACCTATCTTTAACTAACGGAATGATCTGTTTGTTCAATAACATGTTATTGTGCTTAGGAATGGGGAACAAACAATTACCGCTCCGTGATGAAAATTCAAGCAAACGTTTTGACATCATTTTTAAACAACAAAATCTACGATACAAGTCTATCACTTGTATTTGTTTGTTTGAAGTTAAGCATAAAGCAACACAATGGGCTCTCTGTGCTCTGCCCACCACAGGTATCGAAACCCGGATTCTAGCGTTGAAAATCCGTAGACATACCGCTGTGCCACTGGGGGTCATCACTTGTATTTCGGTGTGTCAATATCTGTGACAACACAACGTGGTAACAACAAAAACATAATATTTATTATACAGAATATAATGATCTTTAAACCCGAGCCATCTAGTTCCAGCTTCAGACTATGATATAAAACTAGCACAATAGTGATTTCTAGTTCAGGTGAAAAATAGATTTCTTGAAAACATTTATATCTCAACTTACCCTAAAAGTAAGTACTTGTCAGTATAAGCTCAAACAAGTTCTAAAATAGTCGCCAAACTACTGTTCGGTTCAACTTTTAACCATTGGTAGCAACCACAAAGAAAACTTCCAAACGATAACAGAAAGTGTTTGCTTTCTTTTGCAGTTGGACTTTCCTGGTTAATATGTTTCTATTAAGCTTATCTACAATTTTATTAGTATTATTTTACAGCTTGGCTTTTTAAGCCGTTTTACAAGTCATAATTTTCCTGCTTTTTCCTTGTGCTTCAAAAACCGAGGACGTTGGTTTGATTGGTTGGTTAGTTGTTGAGCGTAAAGCTACACAATGAGATGTCTGTGCTCTGTCCACCACGGTTATCATAACCAGATTTTTTAGCGTTTTAAGCACGCAGACTTACCACTTAGCCACTGGAGTTGAATACAGTTCGCTAAACCAACCTATATACTGGATGATAATTTGTAGCCCAAATGAAGACTTGTCATGGTTACGTTTTATTTATTTAAGTAAGCCTTGCTACTCTTTCATCGCAAAAGGATAATCTCAGACTGCTCAGGTTTCCAGATACACCTAACACATATTTTCAATTACCTTTATTATTGGCCCTATATAATATGCATGTGTACATTTTCATATTATAAATAGTTTAAAACATGCTCTTAAATGAACAATGAACAGGTACTGTTGACTACAGCTTAAATAATGAAAGTTTTAAAGCTAATGTTACAATCGTCAGTAACTAAAATTAGTGCATTGTTCTATAACAAAGATAATTCTGTAATATTTTTTTGTAAGCCCCCAGTGGCACAGCGGTATGTCTGCGGACTTACAACGCTAGAAACCAGGTTTCGATACCCGTGGTGGACAGAGCATAGATAGCCCATTGTGTTGCTTTGTGCTTAATTTCAAACAAACAATCACATTTTTCTGTAAATGTTTACGTAACAATTTTGATAAGGTTACATGCTTAGAAGGATCATATATATATATATATATGTTGTACCTGTCTTCATGTGATATTGTGGTATATGAGATGAGGCAAAGATATAAAGAAAATATAAGTACGTAATATTGAAGCTATTGTTTATTTCGGATTGAACACTATGTTTTGATGGTTGTATTGAACAATATTGTTAAAGATCATTTTATAAGACCAGCACTTCTATGTCACGAGTTTTCCACGTTAAGCTATGTCAAGGAGATTCTGTGTACGCGTTTTCCTCCTATTTCAAGTTGTGTGTTAAAAAATACAAACATACAAATAGTGTCTTTTTATGATAGCCTTCGTTCAAGTCTGAACGAGCAAAAGCTTTGTTTCATTCTTATCTTTTTAAATTCAATTTTTTTTAAGCGCCTTTATTCACCTAAACAAATAATCAAAGTTGTATAGGTTAATAAGGAAAATTATATGCATGTTACAAAGTAGTGTGTATTTATCGGATAACTTAGTGTCATCTTTGAAATATTCTTTTATATAACTCGTTTGTTTGGCAGCGTGAGACGAATGATAGTCTCTTGAAAGAAAGTCAGAAGTATGGGGTGAAACAATGATAGGCTACTCAAGTTGTCATTGAGAACAAATTATCTATTCTTATGCTTCTTAATACTATATATATATGTTTGTTTGTCTTGAATTTCGCGCAAAGCTACACGAAGGCTATCTGCGCTAGCCGTCCCTAATTTAGCAGTGTAAGAATAGAGGGAAGGCAGCTAGTCATCCCCAACTCTTGGGCTACTATTTTACCAAAGAATAGTGGGATTGACTGTAACATTATAACACCCCCACGCTGAAAAGGCGAGCATGTTTGGTGTGACGGGGATTCGAACCCGCGACCCTCAGATTGCGAGTCGAGCGCCTTAACCACCTGGCCATGCCGGGCCTACTATATATATAGTAGTAGTGATTAGTAAGTAGATTGAATAATATGAGTTTTGGGGTAAAGATTCTTCTACAGTAGGTGTCTGATAGCCCATTGTGCAACTTTGTGCTTAACTTCAAACGACAAAACGATCCACTTGTTTTCAAAATAATATATATATATATTCTAACTAGTTAAACGTATGCACAACAGATTCTTGACACTAGAGATCATAGGCATATCATAAACACTATTATAGTTATGTTCTTGTCGTTAAAGTCCACTTAGGCCTATTCAGTTGCTTAAGAATTTCAGTTGACAAGCTAAGTACTTTTCTCTATTTTTTACCGCACCAGTATTCCGTGTATAATTCACTTATAATTATAGCATGAGTTACCACAGCCGTATACTGCTCTTCCAGTAATCGTCTGGTCCTCGTACTTCAGATATCGTCTGTTCCTTTTTTCAAAGTGCACTCAGGCTGGTTCGATTACTTTAGAACTCGCTTTGACGGAATAAACTATACTTCTTATCTCTCTTAAAACAGTTAGTTTTACTCTAACATATTAATCTTTAGGCCTATATTAACCGTTAGGCCTTTTATTCCGCGGCAGTTAACTTTAATTTTTTTGGCCGAACTTCTAGTTCTTGTGACTTTACTTTCTCATCTGCTCTGCCTGTCTACTGTTCCCGCTCGTCTCACACCATTTATATATTTATCACTTAATCGTCTGCTCGCATTCTAGAAATCTCTATATCCTCGACATCCATAAATTTCACGCGACGTCTGTAGCCTCAACATCAATGAATTATAAAACACAATGTACGATTCTTACCAAGTTACTTAACTAAACTTGTCATTACGTTTACTTTAAAATAATTGCTTTTGATTCTCTTGTTATGAAAACTAAACAATCATGAAATATTCATTTAGAAAATAAATAAATTAATAATAACTACAATAAACAGTCTTTTATAACATGACATAGAGAGAGAGAGAGAAAGAAGGAAAGCAATATACATACTAATATGTCATCGTTTCTACATTCGATGAGGAACACTTTGATAGTGACGTAAATCTTTAAATGTGGACTTTTTACAAAGAATGCGATTGGATAGGGAATTTTTTTTTCGAACAGTGCATGGAGTGTTTAGCTAGTTGAATGTAGAAGCTATTTCTTTGTGACTATTTGAGAAGGGGTTTTTTTTTCAACCTATACAGAGACTGTTTATCTAGTTTAATGTAAAGGCTCTTTATTTGTGAAGATTTTGTTTCGACCAAGTGCATAGTGTTTTGCTAGTTCAAACTACAGGTTCTGTCTTTGTTATTTTCAGGGTGGGAGCTAGTTGGATTTAAATGAAGTGGAAAGTTCTGTTTCAACCAATGTATACTGCATGTAGCTCGTTTAATCTAGAGGCTATTTGTGATGATTTGGAGGGGTTTATACATATTGTTTTGACGAGTGTACTGAGTGTTTATCTAGTTTAATCTAGAAGCTATTTGTGATGATTTGGAGGAGTTTATACATGTTGTTTCGACCAGTGTACTGAGTGTTTATCTAGTTTAATCTAGAGGCTATTTGTAACCACTTGGAATGGTTGATACATATTGTTTGGGAATAGGGGGTGCTTTTTCGCCCAGTACATGGAGTGCTTAGGCCGTTGAGACTAGAAGCTTTTCTCAGAAGACTTAGAAGTTTCCTTTTGGGAGAGAAATATTCGTTTTCAACGTTGCATAGAATGGTCAGCTAGTTGAAACTAGAGGTTTTCTTTATGAATGGTTGAGAGGGAATGATACTGTTTCGACTATTGCGTGGGATGTTTATCTAGTTGAATATATAGGCTATTTCTTTGTGACTCTGATTAACAAGTTCCCCATAGTGTTAACGCTACAATCCAGGATTGAATTCCCAACAATAAACAAAGTGCACCAAGCCCATCGTTCAGGTTTGCGCTAAAGACAGCAAGAATAGACAGTAACAACTGATTAACTAGTTTGATTTAGAAATTCCTTTTTTATAACTTTGATTATTAGATAAAATCCTTTTGGGATTAAAGCCAGAAATTTATATTTTTATTATATTTTTTCAGAGTAAATTAAGTTTTAACAGTAGTATTTGATTTTCTACTTTTCAGATTCAATTTTTTGCTATGTCGGCTCATATTCTGAGTGGAGTTATCAACGATTGTGGTTATCCAATATGGTATGGAACGATGCAGCTTTGCTACGTCATCTCCCTCATCATCCTCTTCACTAACTTTTACATGAAGGCTTACCTGCAGGATTACAGGAAATCGGCAGCGCTAGCTAATGGTCAAATAGACAAAAAATCCAAACAACATCTTAATGGCAAAATTGACTGAGAATTTACTTACTTTTAACTTATGTCTGATCTTTCGCTTTCTTTCCATAATAGTTACTCTAATATATCATATATATATAACATGTATTTAACCAATTATATCCATATAAAATTGAAGACAAGAAATGTGTAACGATCGGTAAAAGCTGTAAATCTGCATTAAAAATTATTCGCTAAGCCTCGTCACATTGTTAAGTACGCTGTGTCGCCCCACGTGCCTTTCAAAGTATTTGGTTCTTTGCTACTACAATATATTTCAAAATTTATTCTTATTGAAATACTTTTGTACTAGGATGTGACATTTTTTCGTGTGTACTTTCTGACTCCTTATTTTTTATACAAAATTTGAAGCATTTAGTAGACTTTTAATACCCTCAAAGTGTATGAAGTAAAAATATGTATATGTTTAGAAAGTGATATTCAGCATAATATTAGTTTTACTAGATTCATTTTATTGTAAATAATGTTTCCTAATCTTTTATAAACTATGATTTGACCAAAATCTGTGCGTGTGTGTGTATCCGCTTATAACTGGAGAAAAACTGGACCAATTGTCACCAGTCCTGTCATGTAACTTTAGAGCCTCCCGAAAAGTGTCATAGGTGGTCGACGTTATGGATCTCACCGCTGGTGGGGGTGTCATATATCTTTCTTGTGCGCTGAACGGGTACGCCAGCTAGAAGTTAAATATACTTAAGCTACCATTTACATATCATTAATATTTCATTACAACAGATGTGAACCAGTTCTCTGACTCAAATCAACTCAACATTTATGTTTGTGAAAAGCATGATTTTATTCTTACATTTTAAATAAAGCAGTAAAAGGTTACGACGAATACGAAATACGTGCAGGTAACTATAGAGAAGAATAGAAGAAAACTTTTCGTGATAAAGAACTGGTTGCTAACATTTCTTGCTTATTATGTCGATCAGACAGTTATTATAATATGCACGGGACTGGACGCCTTCGAGGCATTTAGTCAGAAGTTTAAGATCACTTGATCCACGTGTTTGGTGGCAACACATTCGATAGTCGTGATCGTGAGAACCTAGGCTAACTGGCCGAAACGTCGTTTCTAAAACAAACGCAGACAGGTGGTTGAACTTTCCACGAGTTATATCAGCGATTTTTTTTTTCTTTTACATGAGCACGGTATAAAATTGAAAGAGTCGTATTTAACTGAAAACCCTTTGGGCCCGAAAACAAACCCGCGGTAACAATAAAATTTTGTGATGCGTTCAATCCACTGCCATTACAGATGTGTCTCGGTGAGCCACGTGGTATTGGTATACATTGTGTTGTACCTAACTAGTATTGGTAATAAGTAAGCATAGCTAATTAAATATAGTTTGGTTACTTTATCGATAGTTTTCACCTTATTTTAAAATCTGTAGATATTTCGTACTGAAATTCTGCTCAATAACTCAGAACATTCAATAAAGGGATATAGCACCATTTTACAGTAAGACAGTCCTTTGGCATTTCCATGTTGTACACCTGAATAAATGCCATTTGACCAAGTCATACTTCTGTAACGTTGTGATTCAATGTGTTATCACTCTTCTGGAATATTAAAGTTTATAAGACACATCAGTAATTGACACGAGCACCCAATTTATTATGTTACCTATTGGATATATTTCGATAGATATGTTAGTAATGTCATGACAACATATGTCGTAGAATGTTGTTTCAGAGTTATTCTTTACTCTATGTAGGAGATAATACTATTATTGTATCAGTGACGTCTTCACTTACGTTAACCTTTAAAAACAGTGTAACTGTAGGATTTAGTGTTCATTCTTTTTATTATGAAATAGTAATTGAATTACTTTCTAATTGAAAGTAGTGCTGTTAACTGTGGTCAACATTTTAACAAACAGAAAAAAAAACTTTTGATTTAGAATAGCTATCGTGATGTCATGTCCTATCACGAGCTGACACGTAACAGTGTGGTTTACTTCACCACGAGGTGTAATAAATTCGATACTTCATTGTTTTTCAAGTTTTATAGTTGTAAGAAAATATTTTGTCATTTGTGGGTTTTTTATCAAAGATAATTTCGGTGTAATTGTTCTCCCGCCTTGGATATCAACATAAGTTTATTTCAGTAATGTCATCCCATCCAAAATGATAAAAGAAGTAGTGTTTCGATGTCAATAATAACGCTCGTGGTTTATGGTATCACGAGATACTTAAAGTAATGTTTCATTCTTACAAATAAAATTCCTATTAAAATTTGTTCAAACTGTTATTAAACAAATCTGTTAACAACAATGTGTTGTTTATAATAAATCATGATCGTTTACCTTTTTCTCTTTTTCTAAAATAAACTTTTGTGTTGAATAAAAAAAAACGTCTTTTAGCAATTCTTTCCTAAAGCAAAATATGTTGAGCAGTACAATTGCACAAAAAACACACAATAAAACTCTAGCGCATTGGACAGGTAGACCTGCCTTCATCAGGGGGATAAACGTAACAATAGTTGCACAAATAGAACATGTTAAACTAGTTCCTTAAGCGATTGGGCTGAGTATACTATATAAAACCTCTTTAAACATTAACTTAACAAAAAAGGCTAACTTTCAAGTATTACAAATAGGAAACAAAAAATAGGAGTAGAAATTTATCTACATTTTGTTATATGTTTTCTTTCACAAACTTTGTGTCCGTTATACTTTAGGGCAACATCATATGAGTTTTGAAAACTTTCGTAAATGAGTATAGATTAAACATAGTAAATGTTATTTTCTATGTGTAAAAAAACTATTCAGTAACTCTGAAGGATTATCAGTAACTTTGTGTAGTATTTCTTATATTGGTTTGATTAGTTTGAAGTATAACACATTTATTACGTAACACTTGTATTCTCATGTACGCTTTGTTTGTTTGAAGTTAAGCACAAAGCTACACAATGGGTTATCTCTTCCCACCACGGTCTCGAAACCCGGTTTCTAGAGTTGTAAGTCCGCAGACATACCGCTGTACGTATTTTACGTTTCACAGATAACAGGGAGTTCGATCAAGAAGTGTATTACTGAGTAAATCTGAGTTCTTTGACAGGGACTAAGTTTCCAGAAAGGGACTAAATACAGTTTCAAAGCAAAATAATGAAAACACCTTATGTTATGGGGTGAACGCCTTTTACAAGCTGGCGAAGCATAATTTTAATGAATTATATTTGTCATAAGACATTGCGTTAAGCCTATTATATTTTTAATACTGCATTCTTAAACTAGTCCCTTAGAGATTTTCAAGAACTAGAAGAGTGTATAATGATAGTATTTCAACTATACTACATTCGTCATATCCATTGCCAAAGACGTGTTTCACTCAATCCAGAACTCTTCGGGCCGACTGAGATACAATGAACACAGTAGTTGTCAGAATACTGTTACGACAGCGGAAGTCACGCGACCCTGGGAGCATGCGAACTAGAGTTTCTCGAAAGATCATGAATTTTCCTGGCAACTCTAGTTTGTTTGAGATGCCCTCTTTTTTTAATATATAAGCCTGGCGAGAAAAGCCAGCGCTACTGCAGAGATAGATAGAGTGAAGAGATAGATAATTGAGTCAAGCGAACAGTAGGTGCCATAAGTAAAGTGTGTGAATCACACTGTGAAGTAAAGTGACTGTGGAAATTCTGTGTATTACAAAAAGTTTGTATCGAGAAAATAAACTAGTTTTAATCAAGAAGGGACTTGTATCTCTGAAGTTCCAGGGAAAGAAATTATACCGGAAATTGACAAACAAGCAGAAACGTAACAAATTGGTGCCAGAGAATGGGACCAAAAGAAAAAAAAACAGATGGAAACGAGAAGTGGAAAATCAAACTACGAGTTAGCAGATTTGATGGCAGCAATACAAGAACAACAAAAGAAACAAGAAGAACGAGAAAATAAACAAGAAAAGAGACTACAGCAGTGGTTGGAGGAGAAAGAAAATAAACAAGAAGAGAGACTACAACAGTGGCAAGAAAACCAACATCAGTGGCAACTGGAACAAGAAAGGAAACAAGAAGAACGAGAAAATAAACAAGAAGAGAGACTACAGCAGTGGCAAGAAAACCAGCATCAGTGGCAACTGGAACAAGAAAGAAAACAAAAAGAACGAGAGAAAAAAAACA